TCCGGATTGATTCGAGCTGCTTCCGACCCTGATGTTCGCGGTCTCGAGCATAAGCGGTGGTTCGTACCTGACGGTCACCGCTGGACAACAAAAGCCGAAGAGCTGTCCGTTGAAGAGAAAGACAAGGCAGGCTCGAGCCATCATCTGTTCTCGACACCCATCGAAATGGTCTTCGACTCCCTAACGACGGAGGATTTGTTCGAGGGCGATGATTATTCTCCCAGTGAGCAGACTCCAACTGCGATGGTAGACTCGTCTGCTTTGAACGTCTACCGCGAGAGGGAAGAGAACTATGGAAAGGTTTCTGCTAATGGTCCACGAGAGCACGGATGTGGTTCACGACCGGTCTCAGTGCACGAGGGCGGCCAGAAAAATAAATCAGGGATATCACTCGGCGCCAAAGACGATGTCGCGATGACAACTGTTATGATTCGAAATTTTCCCCGTCATCTTTCGCAGCAAGATATTATTGACACAATTTTGCTCCCCAGGGGACTCATTCCTGGTGAAGATTTCGATTTCTTCTATTCGCCTATGAATTTCCGAACATTGCAGAATGCTGGCTACTGCTTTGTCAACTTCTGTCACTCCGCCAAGGCTCAGCGATACGTCGAGTTTCCCAACGAACACAATCTAGAATGGACAGTATGCTGGGCACGGGTACAGGGTCTAAGTGCTAACTGGAATCACTACAAGGACTCTCCCGTAGTTCAGATGCCGGAGGAGTACAGACCCAAATGGTTCGCAGAAGACGGTCAACTGTTGGACTTCTGCGATGTTGAGAGCGCAGATAATGGTCGAGAAGGCTTCTCCTCACAGGAATGCCCCGCTCCTCGGTTTATTCCGCATCAACGTGATGACAACGAACCTGGCTCTCCTGACCAGCTTTCGGGTTCCGAAGGCGAACTGCGGTGGTCGCATAAGGTGTTTGTTGGCGGACTCGATGCAAAAACGAAGGCAAGAGATTTACTATCATATTTTTCTCAATTTGGGGATGTCATTGACTGTGTGGTGAAGAGCAATACCACAACTGGATCGTCCCGCGGTTTCGGCTTCTGCACCTTCATCTCCCCCGAGGGCTATTCTAACTGTCTCATGCGTCAATCTTGCCACCAAATACGAGGAAGGAATATTTCTGTTCAGCCCTACTCTCGAAAGCGCGGAATCCGTCGTCACTCGTGATTACTCACATTATCCTAGTGGGATAATCCCACCGGTCCCATCATTAACATTCCCTTTCGCTCTCAGAGCCTTCTCTCGATTATTCTCATTATGAGGGAACGTGATTTGATTTGTCGAATATGCTAAGACAAACCACAAATCGTCGCACCCTTAATGGGATCGAGTGATTAGAATAACTTTTTTTGCCGACTCTGACTTCAATAGTGTTTCTATCGCTATTCAGCATATCTGGTAATGATCGTTCTGGGCAGTTGCGTTACGAGACAAGTGGAATAGGTCATCACTACTGTTTCGAATGAGCCAGTGAAATTAATCTCAACTCGAGTGTTTAATTTTCTAGCGCATATCGTTATTAGGTTGCCTATGAGTTGAGTAACTTTCTTTTGGCGACTTTGTGACTCAAATGACTGAGATAGCACGTCACTAGAGTATATAATATACTGTATATCACTAGATGAGCGTTTTTATGAATATTGTTACGATCGCGGTATGGAAACCGAAAATCTATATTGAGTGCGATACGATTCTCATAAATTACGCCTGTAGGCAACGTGACGCAACATTCACAACAGCGTTCTGGAACTGAAACAATACCCTCTTCTCGCAGACAGTGCTCTTGGCTGAGTAATCAGCCATCAAAAATTCAATCACGCCAAGATCAAATAGTGATGTGAAGTATTTGATCTTGGCGAAAGACCCGAAAATTTCGGGTTTTTGAGCAGCAATACTTCGAGCCGAAATACTATGATATAATTAACTTGTGACTTCTGTTGGGAGTTTCCTGAATTACGAATAGGACGAGTGAGTGGACTAGGCCTTCTCGGAGAAGGGGCGGAGCTCGGCATCCGGGTTCGATTCCCATGCCTGGCGTTTTTCTGCAAAAATACGTTTTTTGCACGTAAATCTACATGGTCCGGGCGGAACCCTAATTTCGTATTTTTCCTAGTATCCCCTGAGCGAGAGCTATCGAATGGTGTATAGCATGTGATCATAACCTCTCTAGATCGAGCTGGATAATTTGTACGCACGCACGCACGCACGCACAAAGTGTTAGTAAAGTGAGAGAATACGCCAAGATCAAATAGTGATGTGAAGTATTTGCTGCTAAAAACCCGAAAATTTCGGGTTTTTAAGCAGCAAATACTTCGAGCCGAAATACTATGATATAATTAACTTGTGACTTCTGTTGGGAGTTTCCTGAATTACGAATAGGACGAGTGAGTGGATTACTGAGATCGTAAAACCACGAGAACTCTTGAATTGCCTCCAGTCAAGGAGGAGCGTCTCATTCTGCTGATACTTGCGGCGAGACTGAGAGCCTCGTCGTAGAATACCGAGAAACCGTCTGGATTATCCCTGGATGTACCATACAGTCCTTCATCATACATCATGTATACTATATACTATATACTATATACTATATACTATATACTATATACTATATACTATAGTAGTGAGTATTACCCTTGATCCAGGAATGTCGAGCAGAGACAGATCGCATCAGTGATTATATCTGGCTTTGAAGCGTATTCGAAGTACTCATCGACGTTCTCAATCAGACCGCGTCTCAAACGTGAAGCCGCCTGTACACAGGAGATTGGAAGAGAGGGGCGATTGGGTTAGCCATCATTCGTATCTATTTGTTAGCAGAATATATTATGCCCGACATGAGCCTGAATCGAGCCAGGAAGTCCCAAGATAGAAGCAAAGTGCTCTAATAACACACTAGGTCGAGCCCCGAATGATAGATATCCCGATTGCATAGGCCCGCATAGTCGAGATATAGTGCGATGATTTCCAACGCAACATAATCGTACACTGGACCTCTCCTGTGCGGGCGGATTTGGTCGAGAAGTGAAAATTGAGAGATCGTTACTCTCAATTACCCAGTACCCGAAGATATGAGTTCTGCGCGAACATAACTCAACTGGATCCCAATCTTGATGAATGACTCGGTTCCGTTGACTCATAACACAATACCAAGTTGCGCTCGCCAGAAACGCGAATATCATCTCCTGTGCGTGGCTATCTCATCATTCGTACCAAAGTGGTACTCCTCAAGAAACTCCTCGCTGACCCCACACTGCTAGCGTTAAGCTTTCGAAGTGAGCCGCGACGAGCTGGACGCAGCCTTGAGACGGTCACATAGCTGGAACCGGGGCAATGTCTTGGATACTCTCTCAAAAAAGTCTGGTAAAGCATCAATTGAAAAGAGGGTTCATGTCCACCCTCATAAGATGTTAACGCGTAGCCGCGCATATGCTGCCGAGGTAGCCCCGACTAAGGCTATGCTAAGCATTGACGTTACTTTCCTATTACGGTCGTACTGACAGTACGACAGTATGACATATATTCCAATATATACAGTACGGTACTGTATATATTGGAATATATGTCATATCGATATTAATTATCTATAAATGATATCAATATTAAAGTTTCACCCGTGATACGAAAAACAGTAGTGAAAAACATATTTCACAAACCAATGCATAGAGAGAGTATCGCGTTTTTCACCGAGTTCACGCCACGTCGCGTAAAAAGGATGAAGCTCCATCAATTCAGATTCATTTTGGTCGCAGCTTAAGGTTGGCGAAGTCGTGATCGTGAGAAGAATATGCAATCCGAGCCGGGGCAATCTGTCCCAGGATGTTGAGAGATATGGCGGACTCGCATGTTGCTAGAGTGGGCCTCTCTGAGTGGCTGCCGGAAGGGAAAATAGAGTTTCTTCCCCTTGTTGGGATTCCCAACTGGAAAATGGAGGAAAATGGAATATCCAGTTCTTCGGTGGCTAGAGAACCTGCCAGGGACAACCTGGGTATGACATGAGATCCTCAAACATTGTCGCGGCGCAAGACTCGCGCTCTTAATTGGAACCCCATGGCCTGCTGTTCAGGCATCGCCTGACACTGCCAGCGTGCGTCCACGCTAGAAATGATTCAAATTACAACATACCGCTCTCCACACTTCGCTCTCTCGGCGACTAGTTGTGTGGTATCACCAGCCTCCTTAAATCCCAGTGGTCAGAATAGTGTGACAATGAAGAGGTGATCGTTTTATTCTGAGCAGGCTACTGTACCATGAGTTTACTCCTTTGAAAGAAGTAAACTTAGGCTGTGGAACTGTGAGAGAACTCACCAATGCGCGGATCACATCCTCCGATTCAGCTGGTCTAGATCTCCAGCAGCATCTCATATTCTTCGAGCTAACAATAGATAACAATGATATAACAATATGTGCGGCCTACAAAGTCTGTCCAACTCCGGCAGCAAAACGCTCGAAGGCTCGCCCCCGCGCACGCTTCTCAGATCCGGAAGGATATACCCAACAACAGTTACCAATATATCATCCAGGTTTAGTGTATTCACCTAGTGCGAAATATATGTTTGATAACCGATCTCCGGTTCCGTCACTCGAACTTGCGAGATGACTCATTCGCATAACAACAGGTACTTTCGCTCAGCGCCTGCGCGCGTGCGTGCGAGGAGAATTATTCTGGCTTAACTACGGAGTGTAGAAGACCACCAGATGGATCAAAAGACTCCTCTATACGCCTAGGTTTCCGCAGAAATCGAAAAACTCGATGATGCAGTGAGCAGCTCGACAAGATATGCACGAAAACCTAAAGTAACGGAAAAATGTCCAGCCCAGTGATTGAACCTAGGACCTACGCCAAATTCATTAATCGAATCCATAGACGTGAACTAAGTGAAGTCCGACCCTTCGTCACGAAGGCCTAGTGTATAATACACAACTTCCAATTTATTGACAACAAAATGAGATCAGCAGCATCTGAAACTTCAGTAAAAATGCCAAGTACACAACTCCACGACGACAACCGTTCTTGAAGTAAACTAGCAGAACTGAAGCAAGCTAAACACATCAATCGTCTCAAATGAGCGGTGCTCGGAGATGATCATTAGCGACGGAGTCTCTTTTAGCGGCTCTCCTCTTCTCGACCAGCATGCCCACAGCGACTCCAACAACGGCAAAAACAACACCAATCACGACCTGTCAAATCAGAATAAAACTGAATGCTTGCTGAATTAACTTACTTCTCTTTCCCAAGAATTTCCATTGGCAGAAGCAACCTGGTCAATTCCAGTTGCGGACGCTGAGGTGCCCATGCTCGACATCATCTCAAGAGCTACAGGCTCAGCTAAACGCCAAAAATATGTAACAACGATCGCACGCTTTCAACAACTTACCAGTCACCCTCCGATCGAGAAGTTCTTTCTTCGTCTTCTGCAAAGCTTGGACAATATCAAGATCAGCGCATTGGCCCATGCTCTCGTTGCCTAACCCGCCGTCCAACACGAGGGACTCGACATCACTGCAGCCCCACTGGCTCGTCTCTTTATTGAATGACTGATCAGAACGGCAAGGAGTTACATCAGCGACGGCCTGCTGACCGACTTCACCTTAGGCAGTTTATACTCAGGCTTGACATATCCCGGCGGAGTCGATTGCCTATTAATAGGCGCCTCAGCTGGGGAGACGTAAATGGGATGAATATCATTGGTAAAGCCGATCATATGGGCGTACCTGAGGGCATCACAGTGAACATAGTAAAACTGTTGTACTATATTCACTCAATCGGCGGAGATGTTGTACTACAACAACACCGCAACACACTGAACCCTATCTTGATTGCAAACCAAGGAATCCAAAATAGCACTAAGCCACTGCAGGATGCCTTACCAGTTAGGAACTCCAAAAGTAACACCAAGAGCCGGCTCAGTGTCCTTAGTAGGAAGTCTATTATAATAGCCATCATTATACATAGCGATCAGCTTCTTCCCCATAGACCACCATTCATCAACGACATATTTCTGTAGCGCACTCTGTGCCTTCTCAACTGATTGCATGACAGTAGCACACTTTTCACAGTATCTCCTGCGAAGCCTACCTTTTTTGCTGGCATTGTTGGCGGCCAACTCGTCCATTTTAGCCAATTCTATATCCACCAAATCCTGCATCTTTTGGCGCATAGGAAAAACGACCTGGAAGAAGGTAACGATGATATCAGCACGCATATAACTCCATATTGTTGCGCATCACTCGAGAACAAAAGGGAAGAAAAATACAATGGTACTCGCGAAACTTGAACCACCACAAAAAGGAAGGACAAGAAGCACCTCTATTCCAAGAAGCAAGTTACTCAAGCTTACTTTATTCCATCGGGGGAGAAGGGTTCCAAGGAAAAATATTGAGGAAAAATTTGTGAGGAAAAATACGCACATGATCAACCACATATGTTGGTGACGATATGGAGATGCTGAGGAAATTCGGGAACATTATTATCGACTCCTGTACATTTCTAACTCGATTTGTATATAAACTTCTATAACTACCGAGGAAACTCCTATTCCCAGCTGAGCAAAGCAAACATATACTCCAACACTAGTTATAATTTGTGTAAAACACTAAATAGACAATGTTCATATTGTGGTACTCTATTATTCATTTCTCTTCACTAAAAAGGATAATATTAGAGCAAATGCTGGAAATCGTACATGCCGTTTCAAGACGCTCACCTGTTCGCTCATATTCTTGAAGTTCATGTTCAACCAGTTGCTCACAAACTGGAAGGCCCAGAAAGCTGACTTGTCATCGAACTCGAGCAGTAGTCCTCTTTTATACGACTTGTCGACACCCTTCCAATCCGTGTCAGCTCGGAAGGGTAGATATACACTGGTCATGGGCTGATCCACGGCAAACCTAGAAAAGAATCACCTCGAGAAGAACAAACGAGCGTGTCGTACCATCCGACCGAGTCCTTTACATTAGCCTTAGGTTGACCCAAGAATGAATAACTCGTCCTTGGAATCGAAATTCCCCGCGGAATTTGACCGAAAAATGCCTTGCCACCTTCAAGACGATACGGAGTCCCCCAAGGGCCCGCAAGCATGCCTTGAGAGAGGTCGAATTCAGTACCAGCGTAGTAGTCGCCTGAGAGAAAGAACTCACAAATTGATATCACGACCACAATCTATTCCCTATTCCAGAACGTACGACGCATATAAAGGCTTCTATTTGCATCGATAACAGTGGTACATCTAGCAGTGGAATTTCAACCGTGATATGAGAAAAACACTAGTGAAAAAATTATTTCACGACTACTGCATATCGCGAATATCGCGTTTTTCACAGAGAATTACGCCACCTTACGTAAAACGTCGAAACTCCAATATTCTCCTTTAATTCGAAAATCACACAAATGTCTGACTACAAATTCTATTCCAAAACCACACTAATTCCAACTCGCCAAATTCATAACAGAAACCCCCTCGGTTAGCCTACGCCCACAAATTCTCCCCCCTATCACTTAAATTACTGATAAATAAACTCCAACTGCGAAAAATGTTACGGCTATTCCCAGACTCTGCTACTTACTAAAATACTGCATGAAATCCCTATGAGTCAGTTTTCTCTCCACCGGCACCGAGAAAGGCATCTTCCGCACATCCAGTTGGAATGGGATACCCATACTGGGATTAGCCAAATTGAATATTCGCCACGTCCTCAGTGCGCCATAAGCCGGTATAGGCTCTTTCTCTCCAGTGTGAAAAGTCATAGCATCAAAACCAACGACATAATTCCAACTAAGTGGTTCTTCACCATTCCATAATCCTAAGAGAAAAACAAACAATTTTCTTCCACACTACATCCAATACTACTGCTCACCCTTTGCTTTAGTTGCCTCGCGAATTTTCGGGTTGAACAAAATGTCATCAGTGGGCTCCAATGGTAGATCCCCAATGATAAAGTTATTAGAAATAACAGCGATCTCGCCCTTAGGGACTCTTCGAGCCGCCCACACCGACTTAGTGATGTTCTTGGCGCCACCCGCAACGTGGAAAATCCAAGTCTCTCCAAGACTATCCGAAATAGTGAGAGCCTCTCCAGCGTCATCATAAGCCTCTACTCCACCAGCTTGCGTACCTACACTGAAAATTCCATGCACATAACTTCTCGAAAATTCACATACCATAACTGACTTCAAATTCTTGAATAAGGAAACCATAATCTTCAACGAGTTGTCCCATGAGCTCAACCGCACATCTCGCAGTCGCGCACCTCTCCAAAGCAACTTTCATAAGCTCACCAATATCGAGCAAAGCAGAATCCGGACCGTCGGCCTCGTTGATCATCATAGTCCCTGAAAACACAGTCAATGCATATTAATACTAATAATATTGGAGTTTCACCCGTGATATGAAGAACCTAGTGAAAAACATATTTCACGACTACAGCGAATTTCGGTTCCTATTACGGAGTATTACGCTACTTCACGTAAAACGGGTGAAACTTCATTAAATGATTCATACTAATAACGACTACTCAACATTAAATCACAATCATATATATAATTAAAATAGATATCACGTAGAAAATTTTCCAACCACTTACCGCAGCTAGACTCGCCCATAGAAAGCCCTGCCTCGTTCATCAGCGGCAGAGTACTTTCCCAATATCCGTAGGTCGTCATTGCTGGTTGAAAAATATGACCCTTGGGCTCGAAGGGTTTAAAATTGGGGTAAAACTTGGGCTCATATAACTCAGCTCGGCCACTTGTTATCATCCGAGGGAAGGCGCCAGGGTTAGTGTAGACTTCTCTGATGGTATCATTCGGGTAGGTCTTTGCGGGGACGTAGGCCATTCTGTTATCACAGGAACTGCAATCGGCGTTCATTCCACTCATAGCAGTTCCCTGAATAGCAAAAAATTTCACAAAAAAAATCAAGAAAATTTCGACCCACTTCAACTGTGCCGTCAGCGTCTATTCCTATAGCCGTACATCCAATTTTGGCTGGAAAATCGTGAGGGTCATACCTACGAAAGAAACTCAAAAATTTTGAAGGATTTAAAGACAACTTACCCGTCTGGGAATTCGAGTGCGTAAGCACCGCTTACCGCCGCTGATACGAGCAGGAAAACTATCGCCGTCCCGGGTAGAGAACAGACCATGAATTACTAGGCAAAGGAAGAAAAAGAAAAACTGACGATGAATTAATGAGTGCAAACCGTGTAGAACTGTGGAGTTTCAGTTGTGATATGAACAACACTAGTGAAAAGTATATTTCACGACTACTGCATATCTCGAATATCGGATTTTTCACGGAGTATTACACTATTTCCCGTAAAACGGGTGAAACTCGTGTATATAGTGTAGGACTCCATACACTGCATACAGCATACGAGCAAACAGTACAAGGATAACAGAATGTGATGAGAGTATAGTAGGGAATTGAAAATCTACGCTCTACTGCATTTTCTGTACACACTTCTTGCTGAGAAATTCCACCATAATCCAACTCCACGAGAAGGCTACTATAACACCAATTATACTCTTCAAGTGTTCACGCTAGTGTCTCGTCAAACACAACTCTTTCCAATATGACGCGCGCTTTGCTCCGCTGCGGATCCGAAATGACCCGGGTTCGATCCCTGGCCACGTCATTTCTACTTCCTGTAACATTAGGAGCAAGAGTAAATGTGAATGATTACCTAGGATTACCATGGCTGCTGTGACCAATTCGAAAACGGAGTATGTGCCAGCCAACATCTCTCGCGTCGGGTGAGCATCACGCGTCCGGTGCTCTCCTGGTCCCACAGTGAAAGAGTTCTGGCCTGCGGACCTCAATCAGACTCTCCAGCAGATAACGAACTGTCTGCTAGGTTCCTATGAATCTAGTCGCTCTAATGGCATTAGCATTAGACTAATGCTACAGTGGTTCACTAGACATTCCGCAGCGGAATTTCCGCTGCAATTCAAATCGTGAATGTCCCTTCAAAGTTAGTTTTACCACCTTTCTATTTATCCCAACGGCAACCCTGACGACAGTTGCCATCTACAAGTTGTAGATGGCAACTGTCGTCGTTGTAGACTACAACGGGCACATGGGACCGTCTGAGTTCAACAAGGGGAACTCTGGCTCAATGTCACTATCACGGCTTGTAGTGAGACGTCTACTGCAGTCCGTATATTTGTACGCGATTTTCTCACGTACGTATGATGGGACGTAGGGTATGGTTGGCTGGTGACCACCATATCTACCCGGGAGGGTTCTATTTGTATGGTATTCTACAATTTACCACATTATTATACGTCCCCTTTGACGACTTCATCATCATGGTGGATGCTGTGCGAAGTCTAGCCAGTCTACTACTGCGCTATCAGTGGTTAGCCCTGATCCGACGTGGCTATGTTACATAGCCTATGCATACTTTTACGGTTTGGCGATATTTGGTTACCACATATCCAGTGGCTCTGAACATATCGTCAATAATGAGTTTTTAATGGATCGTAAAGTCATCGTGAGCGGCAGCTCAGTCATTGTCGTGTCACAACAATAATTGAATGATGAATCAGCAGTGCTGATTGGTATGACTTGGCTCTCTAACTCATACTACTCACCGATTCTGAGGCGGCTTGCATACTCATCAGTTTTACATCATCACCGTAGCTAACTCCCCATTTTATACAACTCGAGGACCCCACATCAGGCGCTGTGCAGCTTCAACTTACAATGAGAGACCTAAACTTCTTCCTCCTGGATGTAAGGAAGGGAGCGACTATGGAATGTTGCTACGATATGGCGGTGAGGACAAAGGCAAAGGACTGATCATAGACATGGACATATTGCTCTTGTTTCTTCAAGAAAAAATATTTAAGAATCATACTTCATCCACCTCATCAAACTCCACAAATAATACAGTGGGGCATCATCAAGAATTGGATTACACACCGACCAGTGGTCGGCGACCACTGATGGTAGAAATGACAGATTTTGAATAGGTGGTGTGCATTCAAAAGGGATCTCATACCTTCACGGCGTGAAGTTCACGCTGGGGACTTCACCAGAGTCACAAATTTGCCCTTCACTTTGGCTTCAACCGTATCCTTTTTATCATGGTAGAAAAAACGCTCGAGGTCTTCATCAATCAGCAAGTTCGGACACTCCAGTGCTACTATTGCCAAGAATACTTCATAGATATACTCGTTGTTACCGGATTTGGATACGGTGTATACCTTGTTATTAGAGTCAAGGTCTATGGGCATTGACGTAACTCCGAGTGGCATCTGTGTGCACGTGACTTTCAGGGTGACACGGTATGGCAAGGACGGCTGATCTATGAACGTTGCTGCCACAGTTGCAGAGTCAGGCAGTTCCTTGAAGTACCTGCCGTTGGGTGGAGGATTCCTAGCATCAGATTGGGTGACCAGCAAAGCGAAGATACCAATATAGGGTAGGATCAGGGCCATGACGATTTGTTTTACTGAAAGGGACGGGATATGAGGTTGACAGGAGGCGCTCCACCAACACAAAAGGAAGGATAAGACTAAAACAGTCTGTTTTAGTCTCATCCTTCTCTGTTTTAAACAGAGATCCGAAAGAAAAGGCCCCAGAGATCTCACTCATTACGGGATCCTTCCGCTCTACCAACATCGATCAACTCGCGTGCTTCACGTGAAACGCTACGAATGAACAAGATTCCTGTTAGTAGTAACACCCGCACTGGTTGACTCAATAATACTAAGGATAGCCATAACAGGTTATAACTTATAACTTATAAGGCTTCTAAGCCGCTTCTTATCTTATCCATTTCAGCCTGAGGGCTGCGAGCCGTCTCATGCAACCAGTAATAGACGAGCTGTGCCCGCTCCCTACGGCGTGACGGCCATTTCGTGACCCACAGAAGAGACGCTCCATAAATACTCTACGTCACGTCACCACGTCACGTGACGGGTGATAGCCGTAAGCTCGGCTTTTTTACGAACTACCTTTTTCCAACTGTTGGATCTTTTGATGATACCCCGAATCAAAAGACCGCAGAGCCACCCAGTCTGGGTGACCCAGATAGTATAGAAGCAAGTATACGATAACCTCGGCAGCTCAGAGAGGTAGAAGAGCCACGAGTAGAGTGACGGGACGAGGATCGCCGAGAGGCTAATGACAGCTTGAGAGACCACAAAACTCCGATAGTAATAACTGAGAGAGGAATCTTCTGCCGTTTCACTGGCAACCGTTCCCTCACAACTCGGGCGAATCTTCCAAGTGTGCAGATATACTGAATGGAAATGCAATAAGTTGAATATACTTGAATATGTGGAGTGGAGAATAATCAATTGTCTTAGTCGTCATCATCCGATTCCACAAACCAACACGACTCTACTTGTGTCATGCCCGTCAAACCTGACGACGACCACAGTCTAACACATGGTGCATCATCCGAGAAACCATTCGAGAATCGTTTCGTCTTTCTTGAGGACCCTCAAGTTGAGGAGACCCTGCAAGAGGTGGCTCAGAACGAGACTAAGCTCCCTGGTCGTTTCATATTCCGCTGGGACTTGTCTATAGATCGGCAGCGTAACTTTTTTTACGGTTTACGTTACGGTGTGCGTAACGTAAGCAGTTTACGGTTACGGAAAGGCCTTACGACTTTACGGTTGGTGCTGAACTGTTTTTTTGGAATTGTGGTGGAAACATTCGCTGCAATCATTGCAGTGCAATGCACTCCACGATAGCTCAAATAGTTGCTAAACTCATTTCTTGTGGCTCGGATCCAACCGAATGGCTGAGAGAGTAACATTTGGTTTCGCATTTACCACTCGTCTCCTTTGCAAATTCCGTCCGTCTTACTCCCAGGCTGGCCCGGAACTGCCAAAGCAGCCTCGTTTTGTCCTCTGCATCTCCGTAAGACCCGTTACGGCGCCGTAATTTTACGGTACGGGGACCCCGTAACGGGGCTTAAATCGTAACCTCGAAGTGAGCCGTAACGATCCGTAGCGTAATGCAGCATTACTAATGCTGCCTATCTGTAGACTTGTCTCGCTTGACGAAGCCCGACGAGTGGACTGAAGGAAAATCTTTGGCTGATCTGCTGGCTCCAATGACCCTGATGCTTCTTGCTTATGTTGCTCCCTCTAAGTCTTTCATAGGTCTGGTTGTTCAAGAGCATTGTATGAACAACAGCAAAACACTTACGGCTAGGTCGAGCATCCCCATCTCAGACGACAAAGGTACCCCAAATAACCAAGAGCGAACAGTTCGCTCTTGGTTATTGGTAACGTGCAGTTGCCAATGCAGTTATAACGTGCAGTTACTGCAAACGATCTGAAGTCTTGGTGAACGGAGTCTTGCTCCGAGGTTCTGAAAGCTGTGCAGACGCAGCGTCTGAGACGCTCCATTCAGAGATAATCGTCCCGCAACGACATTGCGCAAGTGGTGTACGGCACTGTCGAATAGTGGTCAAACGTGGAGTGAGTTCCTCTCGCATGAGGAAGCTCTCCATTCACAGCGTGAACCTGGGGTAGCATAGACAATCAGGAGGGGCTAACTCATAAAGTACCTCCCCGATTAACAATCGGCGATTGTTATGCCTACTTCAGAAAGAGCGAAGTGACTCGTGAACAAGATCTCCCCAAGCTCCGATCCTCCCGCAAGTTGAGAACCTTCGAAGACAAACTGAAATCCATAGCTGAGTACCATGCTCCACTCACTGTGAACGATCTTTTGGGAGCTGCGCTTGATCCTCTATGGAGCGGGAGACCTAATGCAAGCAAGCTGAAGGGTCGTGAGGAAACGCCTACCCCTAAGCGTACCTCTGCTACACTTGCTGCTGTTGACAAGAACGATGGCTCCCGGCCAAAAACAAGATAAGGATGCCAAAACGAAAGACCAATCTCTCAAGCACTGGAAGTGAGACTGTCCGCTGTTGAAGTCTAAGCCCGTGGAGGTCGAGGCCGAGTCTCCGATATCTGAAAGCAAAGTTGATGACGCTA